GGGTAGATGGCTTTTGGAGATAGGCCACTACAGACAGGACTTGAGTGTTATAGTCCAGCTCCATTTCATGTCTAGGCTCTCAGCTTTCTGCCACATGAGAAACCACTGTTGCACACCCCTGCCACCACGAACTGGCTGACCCACTCTGGCCTCCATGGCTTCCCTGCCCTGGTGGACTACAGCCCTCTGCACCGTGAGCCAAAATAAATCCTTCCCTCCTTAAGTTGCTTCCGCCATGTATTTGATCACAGAGAAAAATTAGTATAAGCAGACTTTCTCTCTGGCCTTGTTCATCAGTGTCTCAAAGCTAACTCTCCATGGGCTTCGCCAACCTGCTTCTCTTCATCAAACTTCCTTGACCCCTTGCTGGTTCCAGATTTGCAGTTTCCGCCAAAACCATCATGCTATGTGGGCTTTTGGAGCTGCCTCCTGCCACTGAAAGCATGATGGATTCTAAGTGGTGGGCACTGAGTACCAAGGAACTGGAGTCAGAGGATGCCAGAGCTAGCTAGACTCACTTGTCCCAGATGAAAAGAGGATGTAGCCAGGCTGGAAAGATGGCTCAGTGGTTAAGAGTACCGACTGCTCTTGGAGAGGACCTAGTTTCAATTCCCAGCACCCACATGGTGGCTAACAACTGTCCTTAAGTAACTCCAGTTCCCAGGGGATCCAATACCCTCATCTGACCTCCGAGGGCATTGCACAACACGGGTGAACTTACACACATACAGGCAATACACTCATATGTATAAAATAAAAAATAATAAAATATTAAATAAAAAGGATTTAGTAAAGCTGTAACCTAACTGGTAGCAGTGTTGAGACTGGAACCTGGATCTTCTGGTTCCTTCCCAGGGCTCCTCTCATCCTTCAAGGAAGCCAGGTTTCTAGGAGGATGATGCTGGGTATAATGTCTAGAAGGTTCTCCCCTGTTCGTCAGGGCTGCACACCACCACCAACTGCAGGGCTCCTTCTAATGCTACAAATGCTGGAAGACTTCTACGCAGTTGCTGACACCAGGCCTGCAAACACTTCCTCCATTTTGATTCTTTTAGGAGTTTACAGGAGAAAAGAGCAAGCTCCAAGAGGTCACAGGGGAGATGAGAGGGAGGACGAGACAGCCCAGGCGTGTGTCAGGCTGTATGTCATTAGCTTCTTAAACAAACCAGCAACACAGGCTGCGATCACACCCACCCTTGACATCTGAGAGGCCCAACGCAAATGCATTAAAGAAGGCCTACACACCATGTGTCTAAATATTTGAACATTATAAATCAAGCTTATAAACTTTGAAACGAGGTTTATTCTTCCATGTTGCTTTGACAAATATATGTTCATAAGAACCTCAAAGGCCAGGGTCTGGGTTTACATCCTTGGACCCCTGAAACTCAGAGGGGCAGGGGAAATGGGGGTACCTTCTCCCTTTTTCTTCCCGGGGGACTTGAACTGGGCAGAGGGACTCCCCGGTCTGACAATCCAGCCTCCAATGAGCCTCATAGACCAGAGAAGAGGCCACACAGGGAAATGACTAAAGGCAACCATCTCTTGTGTGTGTTTGCATGTTCATGTGTGTACAGGTATGTATGTGTGGATGTATGTTCATGTGTGTATGAGTAAGCGTGGAGGACAGAGGATAACCATGGGATGGTTCTTAAGGCACCATTCCGAACTGTAGTTTTTTAATTAAAAATATTTTAACATGTGTATGAGTGTTTTGCCTACATGTATGCAAGTACGCCATATGTGTGCAATGCCTGCAGAGGCCAGAAGCGAGCACCAGGTCTCTTGGAACTAGTTACAAACAGTTGTGAGCTGCCACGTGGGTGCTGAGAACCAAACGTGGGTCCTCTGCAAAAGCAGTCGATGCTCTTAACCCCTTTGCCCTCTCTCCAGACCCCACCTTGTCTTCTGATACAGAGTCTCTCACCAGCCTGGAATTCATCGAGTAAGCTAGGTTGACTGGCCAGTGGGTCCTAGGAATCTGCTGGTCCCTACCTTCCTAGTGCTGGGATTACAAGCATGCACCACCATGCCTGGCTTTGTGTTTTACTGGGTTCTGGAGGTTGAACTCAGGTCCTGCTTGGAAGGCAAACACTTTACAGACCGAGCCATGTCCTCGGCCCCAAACATGACCATTTCTGCAGGAAGTTCCTGGGGCCTGATACCTGAGAATAAAATAGAAGGCGGGTGTGGACTCAGAGACTCCACCCCTGACCTGCTGCCACTTGATCTATAGCAGGCCTAGAGCAGGGCTCTCTACCATGTGGATGCTGGGTAGGCCCTCTTGCCCAAACATCAACGCTAAGGAAATCATTTCCTTTCATCCAGGAGGTAACTGGGTATCAGAGAACCTCAGTGCTTGGTCCAGATACACATCGATCACCACCAGGGCCAGAACCTGACTCAGGTCCACCTAACTTCTGAAACCCTGCTCTGTCTTTCCCCTCTGCTGACTCCACTGGCCGCCCCTCACCCCCACCAGACTCTGGGTGGCCTTCACTTCTTACCTCCGGTGAAAGGGAAACCATGTGATCACTGGCTCAGGTCTCACTCCACCTCTTCCCAAGTCCCTAAATGATTAGTTGTGACCTCCCTTCCTAATCCTACTGTCTTGAGGCTATTACTTCACACAACCTGCTGGGCCCCTGGCACCCCCCATTTCTGACTTCAGTCAGGCTGGGCTCCCCTCTGTGTAAATAGTTCCTGTTCTTCCCACCTCAGCACTTCCCCCAGCCTCCTCCAGACCACACGCATTCCTCCTCACCTGGGCTGGGATGGCATCTGTCCCTTTCCTGACCTCAGCAACAAGGTGAATGTTTGTTATCTTCCTAGTAACCAGCTGTGTGCACCATGCCCAGGGTAACTGGCCCCTAAATGGACCTAATGTGCTCCCTACAGGACAAGAGCCACCCTCCTGGTTACCTGGACTTCTTCTGAGTGATGAGGAAGAATACACCCAATGACAGCCACCTCCAGGCTCCTCTTGAAAGCCAAAGTATTATCCCCTAGTGGGAAAGGCTTTTCCAGGGGCAGATGGCAGAAGCAAACAGACTCTGGCCCCCCACCTGGAATCCCAATTGCTTTCTGGAGAAGGGAGGGAAGGAGTGTCACTGCCCTGGGTAGCCTCTCAGCATCAAGGGCTTTTATCTAAGTAGCCTTTCAAGAGCCTAAAGTAGGGCCTGGTATTTAGACAATGCTAATAGATCTTTACTGGATGGATGGAGAACAGATGTGGAGAAACTCTGAAGGGCAGGTAGACATTTTGAGTTTTGAGCTTAAAACCTTAAAAGTGAAAAGCAGAGTTTCTCCTACTCACCTCCATGTAACTGTGAGAAATGCGATCCTGTAACCTGCCCAAGAAAGCCCTGATCTTTCCCGGCCCAGGACCTGCTTGTTTGTTGCAGGGAGGGGCCCTGCTTCCACCCCAGGGTCATTCATGCACAGCTCACAAAAGTTTCTGACCTGTAACAGGTGAGCAGAGGGAACTCCAGATAATACTCCAAAGAGGAGTGGTACAAGTGATTTCTGACAAGTTGTGACAGGTCAGAGCATTGGCTAATGGTCCAAGGTTTGTCCTCCAGGGAGGTGGCTTCCATCGTCCTGTCTCTGTGTGCAGCACCCCCTCGTCTCCACATTCTGATTTTCTGACACCACACATACACACACACACACACACACACACACACACACACACACGTCTTGAAATATGCTGCACACCGCTTCTGAGCTAGGCTCTCACCTCACCTGAGCTCTAACAAGTCCCCTCACACCTCTCCACCATCACACTAGCTGCATACAGGAGCACCCTGGGCAGATGCAGAGGAACTTACTGGATGTTTGACCATCTGAATGCTGTCGTTCAAGACATAATGGTTGGTTGGGGAGGGGTGTGCTGGGCATTGAAGGTCAACTCAAGTGCCTTTCTAGCACAGCAAAAGAGGGCAAGGGTCACCCCTCCAAAACCACACTATCAGACTCAAGAGTCAGAGAATGCCTTTGGGACAGATGAGGCAGGAGACTGCAAGCAAGACACCAGAGACTCTTAGCCCTTAGAGCATCTAAGAAAGGTGCTCTGGTGAGATCTGGGACAAGAGCCACCTCCTGGCTGTCACCTTGAGATCTTAAGTTCCTAGGGGAGGTGGTACCCTGTGTGGGCTCAGAGCCCACACCCCAGTCTGAAGCCAGGATTGGTCCTAAAAGGCCTAAAGGAAGGATAACCCCAGCTCTGAGCTCTATCCTTTATGAACCTTAAGTGCTTGCAGCTCCAGGAGCCCACCGAGCAGGGGCTGGATCTTGGGGGAGCAGAGGTTGATCCTAGAGGTGAGTATATGAATAAAAAAAAACAGCTGCTGTAATACCCAAGAGTGAGGTTCCCCAGTGGTTAGTGAGGAGACGGACCGAGGTCAGGCACACACCGGCACTACCGACAGCTGTTTTCCCGTAACCTCAGTTTTCCCATCTGAGAGCTAAGCTGGAGCTGCCGTATACCCAGCTAGAGTCGCTATCGGGGTGTGGCACAGGCCGGCCAAGTTTGCAGGTTTGGTGGCAGACTGCTGCAGGGACGAGGAACCCAAGCCTTCTGTGGGTGGAGTGCAGGCTGCTTCCCCTGCCCCCTCCAGCAAGCCAGCTGCTGACAGAGGAGAAGCCACGTCGTCGCCATGCTTGGGGGAAGAACTCTCTTGGCTTTGGGCTTAAAAAAAAAAAAAAAAAAAAAAAAAGGGCGTCTAGGTTTGGTTTCGTCTGAGGCTTAGCGAGGGCGAGCGGCTGGGCTCAGCCCTGCGTGGGGAGGGAGAAGCTGGGGTCTCTCTAGGACCCCGCGCGGTGGAAGGGAGGCCGATGGGCTGCAGCTTGAACGGTAGGCCGGTTCGCCACTGAATGGATGGAATAGCTCTGCCGTCGCCGGGCAACCGCCCTGACGCAACGAAAAAAAAAAACAACAAAAACTCGTCCCTTCAAAAAAGAACCGTGCGGAGAATTCGCAGGCGCTCGGGAGGCGGGAGCCTGAGCCGGGCAGGGCGGGCGCGGGCTGGCGGACCTCGGGACGCGCTGGGGCGCAAACAAGCGGTGGGTTTGCTGCGCCGCGACTTTCCCAGGGGCTGTGGCCGGCGCGCCGGGCAGGCCGAGGGAATCCGGCTCCCAGGTCTCCAGGGCCCGCAGTGGGGGACAGCTGGATCCCACGGCCCCTGTAGGGGACACCGCTTGTGGCACAGCGTTGCCCCTCCCCATCTGCTCCTGGGGGCTCAGGCCTTCTGAGAGGTTTGGACAAGCCAGGTATGGACTCTACTCTCTTCTGGGTGGGGACTTGGGAGTGCTTGGTCTTGAGAGGGAGGGACCCTACTGGGGCTCCGGTACAGATCTAATCCTCTAGGCTCCTGACCCTCACACCCACTTCCTCTATTCAGTGAGATAAAGAGTTCCTGGCCCCAAGGATGCAATAGATAACTTAGAAATGACCTAAGGCACTTGGGTCCACGGTGCTCTAAAGGTGAATCCAGGGAGACCTAGGGAGCTGCACATCCAAAGGTCACTCAGAGAATGAGCAGGTCAGGTATGAAGCTGGGAACCTGGGGTGTCTAGATCAAGGGGCCACAGATGGGGGCGGGAAGGAATCCTTCCTGTCAGATGTGCTCGCTGTATACATCAGTTCTGCGATGAGCAGGCTCTTCTGGGGACATCTGCAAAGTGGGTTGGTTCCAGATGGTGTCCCCAGTTCATTACCCCCAACCCTCCCCACTCCTAGTCAAGAGTCCACAAACTATCCTTCCTGGAGAATGCTGGGTGAGACCAGGTCCTTGTGCACAGTGGAGTTGTGGCCCCAGAGCAGCTTCCCCTCCACATGCCCAGGCAGTTCCCACCAGGCTTGGGACCCACTGCAGAAAGTCCTGGCCCCAGAGCAGCTTCCCCTCCACATGCCCAGGCAGTTCCCACCAGGCTTGGGACCCACTGCAGAAAGTCCTGGGAAAGCCACAGTGTAGCTATGGGGCCTTGTTAGTCTGCTTGCATCCTGGGTTGGGTGACCCTGCCAGCATGGTTTTAAAAAGCCTGGCAAAGCAACTTCAAGCTGTACTTCCAGAAATCAAAAGTGACAGTACTTCTTTCCGGAGAGCCTCTACTGACCACCACTGAGAACCAGTCAGATCCTTGGTCACTTGAACCTCATAAAAGTCACCATTTGAGGGGACATCGTGAGTCTCCAGTTTGGAGTCTGAGAAGCAAAGTAACTTGGAGCAGCTCCTGTGTGCTTAACTCCCCAGATTCCAGAAATGCCCTGAAAGGAAGACTGCTTCAGGGAGTCCACCACAGCCCCAGAGACAGGAAGAAATGATCCCTCCACACCAACATAGTGGGGCTCATCTCATGGCCTAGGAAGGTCTTCTGCCATCCCAGGGAGCCCTATATCTCCAGCAAAGATGTTTATTGTATCAAGAACCTGGCACATTTGGCCACCAGGCCTGGCCAGTCTCGGAAGGATTTAGTTCTCTCTCCCCACTCCTCTCTCCCTCTTTTTCCTCATCCATTACCTGAAGCCCCCCCCCCGACTGTATGCACACTTTCTTCTGTCCTTCTTGTACCCCCAGTTACAGGCATGGTTTTCTGCTAAGTGACCCATCCCTACTTCCATCTCCACAGCTTGGCCTCCCTCCAGGAAGGGCCAAGGGATACTCAGAGCACCCAGACCACCAAGAAGGAAGATGATCTTTGGGCTCCAGGTACATCCTGTTGGTGGAAAACCAGAGTAGCCTGACAAGAGCACCTGGGATTCCAGTGCCCTCAGGGAGCTGTGCTCTGCTGGCTGATGGCTTTTTGCTTGCTGCTTACAAAGGCAGAAGACAAATGATAATCTAGTTGACAGAACTAGGGAGGGGGACTCACGTGCCACTAATAAAGTCCCCTTAGAAAAGTAACTGGGATTGGGCTGAGTATGTAGCTCAGTTGGCTGAGTGCTAACCCAGCATACTTAAAGCCTTGGGTTTGATTTCTAGTGCTCTATAAACTGGGCATGGTGGCACATGCCTATAATCCCAGCACTTGGGAGCTGTGGGCTGAAGGCTCCTGGGCAACTTAGCAAGTTTGAGGCCAACCTAGAGTACGTGAGACCCCACCTCAAAACATGAAGAAGAAGAAAAGAAGTAGCTAGGAGCTCATATTCAAGTGCACCTTGGGTTGGGGAGGAGGAAGGAGGACAGACCTGTATGAAAACAGACCTAAAAGGGGGAGACTGACTGAACAGAAGCAGGGACTCATGGGAATCAGGACAGCTAGGCCACTGGAAGTGGCAGGTGAGCCTTGTTAATTGGCAGTCACCTTGAGCTACCATACAGGCTGGATTGACAGAGGACTCTGGGAGACCTGGCACAGGTGCCCTGTCCCTTCAGGGGCAGTTCTACCCCACTCACAATCACCACTTCTCTCCTGAGAAGAGGGCAAAGGAACAGAGAGGGAAGAGAACACCAGGGGTGAGAGACTGTGCTACTTTATAGTCGCTTGTCCTCCTAAGCACCAGACCCGCTCCCCTCTACCATCAGCAGCTGCTCTGTGGACAGTAGCCGTGGCTTCCTTTGGGCATCAGGGAAGGGCCCTGTTCTACAAGGTGGCTTTCTTTCATCGGTCCCTCTTCATGCTTCAGCATCTCCAAGAGACCCCTGGCATGTGGTAGCTGCTGCCACAGAGGAGATTTCAAAGAGCAACCCAGTGGGCTGAGGATTCAGTTTCTGAGGATTCAGTTTCTCTCCATGAGGTAGTAGACTGAACCTCCCCCACATACACACACACCTTCCTCATTGGGACTGGAAATTCTTTTCAGGATCGTCTGATCCCAGTGTGGGAGCGGGCTAGCAATGGATCCCCAGAACTCCCTTCCAGGTGTGTGTTACTTGGGACCTGGAGGGCAGTCCTGGGTCAAAGCTTACTTCCAGGTGGAAGGGAAGACGTGTGTGAGCACAGGCTGCCTATGCAGTGGCCACAGTTCCAACTTGAAGGTGGGGCAGTATTTCCTCATTCCAGGAAACTAGCAGAGCCTCTGAGCACTGGTTGGGGACAAACCAAAGGAAGCCAAAGGTTGAGGGGTAGGTGGGGTCGGGGCGAGAAACCTTGAGAAGATGCTGAGTGCTGACCTGTGACCAGGGCCCTCCCCCAACCCTCAACTCTGAAGTGACACCAGATGCCTGTGAGTGTGGACAGGTGCTGAACCCTAGGGACACAAGACAGGCTTGAACCAGGACAAGCCAAGCGGTCAGAAAGGCAAACACTCTGGGCTCAGGGCTGACCGTGCTGTCGCCTCATCTGTCGTGTTTATTTGGTTGGTAGCAGCTGCTGAAAACATGGCGGAGGGTGACGGGCAAGTGCATTATCAGGTTTGAGTGAAAGCAGACTGACAGCAAGCCCTGCCCACATGCAGGCATCTTTTGTTTATTTTGCGTGTTTATTTCCAAAGAGCTCCAGCAGATACAGGGAGGCTGCTCTGTGTGTTCGGTGAAGTCACACGCCTCCTGGCACCTTCACTGTCCTCCTCGGAGACCTTGCTACATCCTTTGACCTTCCAAGTCCAGCTGCTCCCAAATTCATTTCGGCAACAGACCTCCCCGCTCCCCGCCCCCAATATCTCTTCTCCAAAAAGATCAGTGAAAGGACACGCTTTGCTGATTGCTGGATGCAAGGCAGCACACCTGCTCTACTGCCTCTGGAGGGGGCAGGGATCTTCCTGGAGTGAGGATGTCCTGCTATGAGCCCCAGAAGGAAGGGGTCTCCAGCTAGCCTAGTGTGCCTTCAAAGCCTTTTAGGGTCAAGAAAGGCATCAAATGGAGAATGCTTATAACAGTGCCCTTCCCATGAAAGAGCAAAGAGTCTGGTCAGGGCTGCTGAGAAGTGCATGTGGATTTGTGCAGAATAAGAGCTGACATTCATCTGTATGTGCATCTGAGAACATACAGACACACTTTGTTCCTGGTTGGGAAGCTGCTTCCCCAGGTGACAGGCCAAGGAAAATGCCAGTCAGGCACAGTTGAGGGCAGGAGGTGGCAGTCCCATCAGAGGTGTAACTAGTCATTCACATATACTTTTATCTCATTTGATCCTCCCAGACTGTGGGAGGTTCTCCCATGATCCCGTTTCATGGGCATGGAGCCTAAAGTGGAAAGGGTTAGGGGGGTCAGTCATAGTTGGTGGCCAGTCTCTAACACCCTCCTCTGCCCCATCCTTTGCTCGTCCTGTGTCTCCCTGTAGCGCCTGAGTCCTTCCAGCAGTGATGACAGTTCAGCAGCCCGGCAGGCACAGCGCCTGCTAACATAAGGGGGTACACGGTCATACAGCCCATTTCTCTCCTGCCTTCAGTCACTCAGAACAAAGGTCCCCTCCGTACCTTAGCAGCAGGCCATCCTGGACACTCAGGCCGGCTGTAGCCCCACTGCTTCCTTTATTAGGTCCCCTCCAAACTCTGGGAAACCCTAAGATCTTCCAACCTCTGAAGCAGTCAGCACGCCCAGACCAGATGTGGAGGTGTGCCACTCAGTAAACACAGCATGCACCGGGAAACCTCTTAAGGAGATCCTTGCAAAACGGTTGCGCCTTGAACTTACAGAGTAAAATAGAAAACAAATAGAACCAATTCGCATTGCAACTGAATCCTGTTGATTTTGCCTATTTGAAGTTGAAGTGTATTATCAGGGACTTGAATAGGCCTAACTGCCTTGTTGGGGGGTTGGGACAAATGCCACTTGGGGCATTCTCCAGTGGGTCACAGTGTCCTTCACTGTGAAGTGCTACCTGGGTTTCCTGGGAAACGGTTGCTGTTCCTGTTGAGGAAACACACTCCAGCTGCGTTCTTCTTTTCACTCTAAAGGCCACTCTATGTCTGCCTCTTTGGTGTCGCTGTGGTCTTCAGCCAGAGATGTTCTGTGGTCACATGGGACAGTTAACTGGGGTAGTGATGGGCTGCCTCGTCAAAGGTCCTCCTGGGACAAGGGCCACTTCACTCTGTGCATTCCAACCCTCAGATGCCAGGCACCTTTCTTCCCACCTGCCAGAGAATTCCTTTCCTAGGGCCGTGGAGGGGACACGGTGAGGCTCCGAGTGCCTGCACAGCTCCTCTGCCCCCATCCTCTTTGCAGCAGTCCCAAGCTTTCTCCTGTCCTTCCAGGGAAGCTGTAAGCTAGTGTACGGTTCCTAGGAGCCATAGCGTCTCCACAACCAGTAGGGAAGCATGCATCTCTCTCAGTGATTTTCACGGCAACTTTTTTCACGGAGCAAAGTGAAAGCAAAGGTTTCCACACTCCCAGCCGTCTTGCAGGAGCCTGTGGAACTGAGCCCATCAATTATTCAGCACTGACTTTGCATTTGAAAAGGTCTTTACAAGTATTTTTATAGATTCTTCCCTCATAATGTATCAGCGAGGCAGAGCCAGGCTTCCCCGTTTCCTAGACAGTGAAGCAAGGCTTGGCGTCAGAAGATGCCAGTCCAAGTCTAATCAGCCCTACTAATGGAGCCTCCGATCCTGGGCCAGTCGTGTGACATCTCCGGTTTGAGATTCTCTGGGATTGAACACCTGGAAAGGCCTCTTTAGCTCAGACCACAGTATGTGGGAGAAAAAGTTTATCAACTACAGTGTGGTTTGAAAATGTCTGTGATTGATCTTATTTCAGGTATGCAGATAGAAGAGTTGACTCCAGAATACAGGGCCAGCCATTAACAGAGGACACTGGGAAACAAGTCTGTCTGGGCGAAGGTCCCTGGAAGAACGCAGGTAAGCTTGTTCTGGTGCTTGCCTCAGGACGGAGGCTTCAAAATGTGGCTGTCAGCCCACCAGCAGCTGTGATCTGGGAAGCTATCCCAAGAAGCAGAGGGACCCACATGTTCATAGAGAGCTCATGACAGCTCTCAGTGGGACACGAGGGCTGTGTCTCTCCAGGTGGGTGGGGCTTGGGGCAGATACTTTTCTCCCCAACCTGGGCTGAGCCTGTCCAAGATAGTTCTCACTCCCATCTCCTGCAGAGATACTGAAATCCTGAATGGGGGGCCTGGGACTGCCCAAGCAGGATGCCCCTGACGAGCTCCAGCTCCTCCCTGTGACCTATACTGGGCTTCATGCCATCTTTTTGTCCTCCCATCCTGGAGACCTCAGGCCTAGCTAGCACCAAGACTGCCCTGGGCTGGCTCAAGGGCTAGCCAACCCCATACACACAAGAAGAACGCAGTTCCTGTTCCATACAAGTTCCAAGAGGCACATGACTTATCCAAGATAGTGGGTGATGGCAGACTCTTCTTTAAGCTTGAGTGTTTCCAATGCCAAGCTTACCTACAGAGGAGAACCCCAGCCCAGAGAGAAGCATCAGCCATCAGAGACTTCAGTCTGGAGACACCCTAGCTCACGCAAAGACCCCAACCTAAAGAGGTACCCCAACCTCTTTGGAAGGAAGGGATAAATTCTTGTGGTGCTTTATTGCAGGATGGAGCTATCCAGGCAGCACCAGATGACTTCAGGGTTGCTCTGAGTAGACAGCATGCTCACACACACACACACACACACACACACACACACACACGCACAGAGGAAGACAATCATCCCACCACACACACACATAGTACAAACTCCTCACCACACTCAAAAACATAGGACAACTACCTTACCACACTCACACACACAGCCAGCCAGACAAATCTGTGCCACACATACACACACACACACACACACACACACACCACCCATAAATACAGAAGACAACCTCATTTATACACATACACAACCAGCCACTGCACCATACATACACCATGCTCAGCAAGACAGCCACCCCATCACACACACACACACACACATACACACACACAACCAGCAAGGCAATCATCCCACCAATACACAGAGAGCTAAACAACCACCCCACCACACTCACATACACATGACCAGCAAAATAACCATCCTATCACTCCCATACACCAATCAGCAAGACAACTACCCCATCACACCTAGATTTACCAGCAAGATAGTCATTCTAACACACACACACACACACACACACACACACGCATGCACGCACACACACAAAAGTACAACCACTCCACAACATTTACACAGCCAGTAAAACAACCACTACAACCACCTCTCACACACAATCTCTCTCTCTTTCTGTCTCTTTCTCTCTCTCTCTCTCTCTCTCTCTCTCTCTCTCAAAAAATTGGGGCCAAGGACTAGTCCCTATAGTGTCATCCTCCCGTCTTAGGGACTCCCAACAACAGCTCTGAACAAGGACTGGAATAAAGATGGGCCTGGGAAGGGGCCAGATCAGCGGGTGTCCCTCCTGCTTCAGTCTCCATGGCAACTCGAAGGCGGAGGAAAAGGGCTCTGGGCAGCCCTAGCTTCTATCAGCAGCTCTGTGGGGTGCAGAGCTATGTCCCCTCCTCTCACCCCCGCCCCCAGCTGGTCAGTGCTGAGGCACGGCTGCCAAGCACAATGGTCACATTCCAGGCTGAGTGAATCATGTAAGAGTTCTGTCTCCTGATGCTCTCAAAGTAAGATAAGCACTGGGTTTATGATTAAACCCAGTCACAGAAGCCTGTCCATCACCTGCGAAAACTCCTCTAGAGCACACAGAGCCCTTTCTCCCTGCTCATTTCATCCACAGCATGGCTCTACAACAGCCCCATCTTCAGAGGAGGAGCCAAGACCTGGCTAGGAGACCAGAAAGTGGGCTCAGGCTGTCTCCTCAGTTTGTCCTAAGCCACCCTCAGAGCACAGCATACGACAGAGGCAGAGGGGCTGTGGAGCTGCCTGACCTAGCATGTTGATAGGGAGGCCAAAGACATTGACCCTTAGCCAGATCACAACCCTCTGGGTTTCCAGCATGGTAACATGCAGGCTTACTCAGCAAAGAGACAGACTTCCCTGTACCTGCATGTGAGCCTCTCTTTGCCCACCATCCAGGTCTCTGACCTGGCTCCATCAGCAAGAACAGTGGGCAACCAGACAAGTTGGGGTGTGAAAGTCAGGCTTACTGAGGACAACCCATCCCCCATACCTGCCTTGATAAGGAAAGTCAAATCTTGAGGGGTCTTGATCCATGGTGTGGCCAATTCTTCATTCCAGAAGCTTCTCAGAGGATGAAGTAACACAGCCAGGTCTAAAGTTTTCCATGTGGGCAGGACCCAGAAAGGAGATAAGTCAGCCCTGTCCAGATGATATGCTCTGGAAAACGGCCCAAAGAGTGTAGATGGGAGGTTGTGGGCTTTCACCAAGGTAGCCTGAGCCTTAGGCTGGTCACTCAGTCCCCAACTGACTTTGCCTATGGACCTTGTTATATACAAGTGGCCTATAGTCACAGTCAAGTTGGTCCCTGAGATAGGGTCAGCATCACTGGCCAGCATAGAACCAGGATGGAGTTAGCTGTCTCCAGGATGATGTGACTGCCAGAGGATACATGAGCCCCAGCCTGTGAGGTACATGATGAGGGAGAGGCCTACACTCCTGCTCAACCTTGTTGCCCTGACTCTCCATGCTTACCTGATTCCAATCTCTGCCCTGCTAGTTCCTTCTCATCTCTGTGCCTCAGTTTACCTGTGTAGTAGGGGGAACACAGTATGCAGTCACAAGGTTCCCATAAGATGCTGCTTCCTCAGAGTGCCTGGCTTGACAGTGATTCTGTATTACCTAGCAGCAAGTTGCTAGGGCAGGATCCTTACTGCATTCTAGAAGATAAAGGCTCACAACTGGTATTCTCCCAGAAAGACATTCAAAGGACTGAAGGAAGGGGATATTGAGAAGGGGACAGTATCCACACCAGGCTTGGGCATAGAGTGAGGAGTACAGGGGTATGGTGGGCAGCCGTGGGAAGTGGATAGAGGATGGAGAACTCCCAGCTCTCCCCAGCAGGTCCCTGTTCTCAAGAACCAGCCTCTGTAGCCTCGGGGTTCCTTGTAGGGCCAGAACAATGCAAGGCTCAAATGTGTCAAAGCCTCTGTGCACTATTACAAGATAACATCACTGTCCTGCTCCTATGTTATAAATAATGTGCACTCCCCTCCTCCCCCAGTATCTCAACTCCTCCATGCTGTTCATGGGCCTGAGTCTCAAGACAAAAGTTTTCTGTTTCCAGCCAGTAAAAAGAGCCCAGGGCAGTAGGGCTCTTGTCCTTCTTTCATGCAGCAGAGAAACAGGTACCAGGAGACTGCAAGAGTTAATTATGAGTACGCCCTAGTTTAGAAGGAGCTGTCGCTGTAGGAGGCTCAACTCCGTAGGGAGCAGAGCAGCTACAGCAAGTGAACCACTGCCCCAGGGCCACTCCTGGGCAGACCTTCTCGCTCTGGAGACTGTCATTTTGTTGAGGTAACCCAAGGGGGCCAGTCTCCAAAAGAGTGCATCTCTCCAGGTCAGCCCTGTAGGTGACTGCCCAGTTTCTGGGCATTTGACTTCAGCCCAGCAGGAAGTCACATGACCCAGAGCATGTTCTACACCATGATCCCTGGGTGGCATTTCTGCTGGGAAGGAGTAGAGGAAGTGTACATCTCCACGTATGGAAAACTGTACTGCCTGTTGTTGACTGTAAATTGGGAAACATAACCATGAATGCAGATGGACTCAGTAAAATTTTGGTAAGAAGATGGTGACCATCTACCACCCTGTAGCTCTCAACCACAGATGGCACCCCTCTCTGAGGGACGCATGAAAATGTGGCTTTTTGGATGTCACACCAGTTTGTGATGCTACTTGACTCTCACAGGTGTCGCCTCTGCAAATGAGTTGTGCAGCCCCTGACTATAGCCAGGCCTCTGAGTGTAGGCAACAGAAAGCAACATGATCATAAGCCCGGTGGGCAAGCGCAGAAATGACAGAAGGCAAAGACCAAGGGAGAAAGCAGGGCAGCACCGGAAGACAGAGGCAGCCCTCCGCAGGCCCCCAGTTGTTCAGGAGAGATCACTGGCTAAGAGAGGGCTACCTCACTGCATTTCACCTCTGTTTCTAGGCTGGCACCTATGTGGCCACGTGGAAATCTTAGCCAGCTATTCATCTGGGCCTCACATACAGGCCAAATTCAGAGCACAGGCCTGAGCCTCTGATTGCCTAAGATCAAGTCACATACTCACACCTAGTTGCCAGGGCCTGGGCGGAGGAAGGCGGCTAGGGGCTGATCCTTTGGTTGAAGAGAGCAAACACAAAGTGTGTCTGGCCTGCCTGTCGCTCTACACGACATGGGAGCTCCCTGCAGACAGCAAAGGAGGGGATAGATACACCATAGAAATAGACCAAGGTCCAATATCAACAGCCAAGCACCACATCCTTTTACTATTTTCTCAACACATGCTCCCGCTGGCCAGTCATAAGTGTCGGAAACCCAGCTGGAAGTAGCTTAAGTCCCAGAGGAGAATTTGAAGGCTGGATAATCAAGGTCTACACTGTGTGAACTTTTCCTGGGAAACAAAGAAATGTCTGTTTACCCCAGATGGAGACCATTGACAGACCAAAGATACACCCAAGTCTAGCTTGGCAAACCAGTGAGTTTAGCCAGAGTTACACACAGGAACAAGGGCTCCTTCTACACAGCCCCCTACCATTTGTTACTTTCTCAGGAGCAGCAGGACCTCCTAAGCCCCTCCTTCCCAGGACAGATCACTAGTGGGCCCAGTCTTGTGTGGGTCTCCTGCATGTAGTCACAGCTGCCCAGAGTTCAAGAGGACAACAGCCACGTCATGGCCAGAGGACGGCATTCCATAACAGTCTGGTGGAGTGTCTTCTGACAAGGCCTAATTGGGGGCCTC